TTGTCATTCCCTTCTGGATTGCAGTGTTTCTGCTGAGAAATCAGCTGCTAGCCTTATCAGAACTCCCTTGTATGTTACTATCTGTTTCTCCCTTGCTGCTTTTAAGATTATTTCTTTGTCTTTATAATTTGGAATTTTAATTATGATGTGTCTTGGAGTTCATCTTGATTGGGACCCTCTGTCCCTCCTGAACTTACATGGCTTTTCCCCTTCCAAATTAGGGAAGTTTTCTGTCATTATTTTTTCAAACAGGTTTTCTATTCCTTGCTTCTTTTCTTCTCCTTTTGGTTCCTATGATGCAAATGTTGTTATGTTTCATGTTGTACTAAAGTTCCCTTGAATTATTCTCATACTTTTTGAGTATTTTTTCATTTTGTTGCTCTATCTGGGTATTTCTCTCTACCTTGTCCTCCAGCTCACTGATTCAGTCCTCTGCTTCAGCTAGTCTGTTTGTAATTCCTTCTAGCGTATTTTTTTATTTCAAATATTGTATCATTCATTTTTCCTAGTTGCTGTTTATAGTTTATGTTTCCTTTTTCATGTTGTTGTAGTTTCCACTCAGTTCATTGTAGTTTCACTGATTTCCTTGAGTGTCCTTATAACCATTTTTTTTAATTCTGTGTCTAACAGATTGTTTACCTCAATTTCACTTAGCTGTTTTACTGGAGATTCTTCCATTCCTTTCAATTGGGGGTTCTTTCTTTGTCTCCCCATTTTAGGTGACTCTTTTTGTTTCTGTGCCTCAGGATGTTCTGCTTTGCCTGCCTGTCTTCATGAGGTGGACTTCTGAAGGTATCACTGCTTTTTCATCCATTCAGCTACTGATGGGCACTTGGGTTGTAGCTATTGCAAGTAATGCTGCAATGAACATAGTGGTGCATATATTCTTTTGAATGAATGTTTCATGTTTATTTGGATATATTCCCAGAAGTGGAATCACTGAATCATAAGGCAGATCCTCTTTTAATTTTTTACATAATATGTTTAGATTGTTAGGCATATATGGCTGGACAATATATGTTACAGGATAAACTAATAAATATGATGTGATCATATAAATTGGTAATATTGAAATGTCTAACTGTAAGTGCTTAGTATAAGTTTGTAACTGCTAAAACCTGGTAAATTATCTTGCTGAGAAGACTTCTGACCCAATAAGAAAGATTTGACAGCATCACTTGACAACAAATGAAAAATATTTTTCACAACTAAAACATACAAGGTCAGGCCAAAAAAAAGTCCAGCCACTGCTAATATTTCTTAATTTAATCTTTATTGTATTTTTTTCCCATTACCTTTTTAGTCCTCGTATACCCCCTACCCCACAGCAATCACTATACTGCTGTCCATGTTCAGGAGTCCTTTTTTCTTTTTTCTCAATCCCTCCACCCTCTCATCCCCCCCACTAGCTATCATCTGTTTTCCATCTATGAATTTGTCCGTTTTGCCTGTTAATTCCATTTGTTCATTAGATTCCACATAATAGTGATATCATATGGTATTTGTCTTTCTCTGACTGGCTTATTTCACTTAACATAATGGTCTCTAGGTCCATCCATACTGTCTCAAAGGGTAAAATTCCTTCTTTGTTATAGCCGAGTACTATTCCATTGTGTAAATGTCTCGTAGTTGTTTTATCCACTCATCTACTGATGGACACTTGGGCTGCTTCCCTATTTGGCAATTGTAAATGCTGCTACAATGAACATAGGGGTGCTTATGTTCTTTTGAATTAGTGTTTTGGGTTCCTTCAGATATATTTCCAGAAGTTGAATAGCTGGGTCAAAAGGCAGATTCATGTTTAGCTTTTTGAGGTATCCCCATACCGTTTTCCACAGCGGCTGCACCAGTCTGCATTCCTACCAACAGTACAAAAGGGTTCCCCTTTCTCCACATCCTGACCAGCACTTATCTGTTAATTTACTGATGATAGCTATTCTGAGAGGCATGAGGCAGTATCTCATTGTTTTAATCTGCATTCCTCTGATGATTAATGATGTTGAGCATCTTTTCATATGTCCATTGGTCATATGTATGGGAGAACAGATTCTCCAATCATATATCTGCTAATAAGTTAATTCCCAAAATTTATAAAGAATTTATGAAACTCAACACCAAAAATCAAACAAACAAATTATCCAATGAAAAAATAAGGAAAGGACTTGCATAGATACTTCTCTAAAGAGGACATACAGATGGCCAACAGACATATGAAAAGATGTTCTGTACACCTCTTTTTTAACTTTTGCCTCATACCTACATTAGCTCACTATTCTGATACTGTCATGTTTAGAAAGGCATTACATTTTCAGCAAGAGGTAGACAGATACCTATAGATCATTCCTGGAAACCAAAATGTCTCAAAACATATAAAAGAGCTATTCACTCAGGCAGAGGGAAGAGTCTAAATTGATATGTTCCAAAGGATCTACGCCAGGTATAGGTAATATACAGCCCATATGCCAAATTTGGCCAGCACCTTGTTTGCGGTACAGCCTAAGACCTAAGAATGGTTTTTCCATTTTAAAGGATTGTAAATATGTGTGTGTGTGTGTGTGTGTGTGTGTGTGTGTGTGTATATATGTATATATATATATATATATGAAGGAAAAATAAGAATATGTAAATGAGACTAACTGTAACTAGATACTTACAATCAGGCCCTTCACAGAAAAGTTCTGCCAACCCCTGGAATCTATCTTTTGGTGTGCTGCAGAATTTAGTAGTTTATATATGTGTGCCATGAGATGAAAAAGCTTGAAAATCACGAGTATGTACTTAATGTGTTATTATTACCTAATAAAAACACATATTAAATACATACTCGATATGTATTTAGACAAAAAATGCATTGGGAATGAGGAAATGAAATGAATAGCTGGATAAATTTCTTTTAAAAATCTGAAGTATTCGTAGAAGTCTGCCCAGTTCCCTGCATCAAAATGCATAATGTTTAATAACTAAATGTCATCCTATAGTCATCTACATACTTCAGTGGTTTGTTTATTTATTTATTAATTTTAACTTCAATGGTTTAATGGACAATGCAAGTGAGGGGGTGGGGAGCATGCCTAAGAAATGAAAATACCATCTCAGGAGAACAGTGTTGGCAGAGTATTCAGCAGCAGGCCATAAAGTCAGTGTCCCAGAATAACTTTAAAAGGACCATGCTGCTCCAAAGAAAGCAGAGTGACTGCAATTCCATGTCTTTGGGATCCTTTCGGTATCACTGGTCTATGGCAAAGCAGTGTTCATGAAGAATGAAGATCTTGAAACAGACACTTTGGCTCTACCTCTTGTGAAGAGCTTTAGTGACCATTTTACATCCATTTTTTAATCCTAATGTGCAGAAATTTTGAGTGTATATAAAAATATGAGAGCTATTTATCTACAAGTTAAAGAATTCAAAGCCAAAGAAAATCAGCAGTGTCTGTTGCCTAACATGAAGTAAGAGAGCCATATTATTAATTTTTCTGTTTCATACAGATAAACGATAATTTAAGACTCCAAGAATCACAAACTTATAAAATCTTTAAGTTAAAAAAGACCTTAGAAATCCCTAGCTGAAATTCTTCCAAAAGTAATAATGCTTGCAAAAATCTAGACTTTTCCAAGGGCAAATTTTTCCTCATCTTGGATGGGTGGGCTTTCTACTTTCTAAAGAGTGCAAACTTCATTAATCTCATGCCACACTACAGCCCTCTCGATTTGCTACACCTTAGGCCAAATCTGTCTGGAGAAACTAACTGCCATCTCAGACACACTGGATTTCATATTCCAGACATTACACCTGGAAACTGGACCAAAACAGACTGGTGTGCAACCAAATGAAGATATGTGAGCAATCAAATCCCTGTGATTGCAAGGTTCAGGCAGCATCTACTTTTTCATGACAATAAAACATAAAAAATGTAGGTCTATAATAAAGAGTTAGTGTGGTATGGAGGAGGAGTATGGAATTTGTATTGGTAAAGAACTTGGAGCCAGAATATTTGATCCCTTGTCCAGTCGGGACATTTCCTTATCTCTAAAATAATGATGATAAAACATAACCCACAGGGTCACTGAAAAAAAAAATCAGACAAAATAATGAATGCAAAAAGGCATGTATATATAGAAACAGTGTATGAACATTAAATGTTTCTCCCAGTAGGTACTAAGTTCCTCAAAACTAGAACTAATCTTATATTTTCTATGCTTTGTACCTAGCACAACACAAACTACTTTGATAAATGTTTGGTGAATAAATGAATGATCACCCAAAAACCCCACACACAAAGAACACTGTTCTGATTGCATGTATAGTTGGTCAAGAATAATTTTACAATATGTAAATTTCAACATAAAAAAGTTTGTGCGGTTACAAACTTCCCGTTACAAAATAAGTCATGGGGCTGTAATTTACAGCATGGTAACTACAGTTAAACTGTATATCTGAAAGTTGCTAAAATAGTAGATCTTAAAAGTTCTCATAGACACATAAAAATTTTGTAACTATGTATGGCAGTAAGATTTATTGTGGTGATAAAATGAGTTTATGCTAAAATATAAGAGATAAACAAAATATAAATAAACCCAATGTGTTTATAAACATGTTCATTCTATATATTATATATATGCACACACACGGAAGTACATGATTCAGTAGTTCAAATATGCAAGTAAACAAAAATTATAAGTGAATTTTTTAATAGAAATGATCATAAGCAAAGCACATGAGATTTACTAAAGTACAGAAATTCTTAATTAAGGTGATTGTCTAACTTACAGAGTTCACTTCAGTGTTTTGCTGTTATGGCCAAAATTTGTTACACATGATTGATTACTCTTTAGCAAAACTTCCAGAATGCAGTTTAAATTTTATTTACAATAGCAAAAATCATACTATCAAACTGTAAAATCTATCAAATTGTAAAAATCTTACTACCAAATCACTTTGACAATTTTGGGAAGGAAGGCTTATTGATTTTATAAATACAAGTCAAAGAAAGTTGAGTTACCTGGGTCTGTAGAGGGAGTAACAAAGGTGTTTTGTTTTAACTCTTTTGGCCTGAATAAATATTCTCATCCAAGGGTCAAAATACAGAACAGAAGTGTAGGCTCTGAATGACCATCTCTCTGGGAAACTAGAATGGGAAATAGCAAAGGTCACACTCTAAAGGGTACAATAACGACACATCATTTGAAAGAAAAAAATCAGGCTACAGGTTATGATGTTACCACTAGCAGCCTCGAGAACATTTATTCTAAACCTAATAATGACATAGCAAACACCAGCCAATCTTGCAACAATCACATGTTTCATTAAGCAGACAACTTTACAAATAAGTAGTTGACTATGAATACTAGATTTTTTTTCTCACATGTAATTAAAAGACCAACAGACTGATTCAAGTAATAAACACCCCCTCCCCCCCAAAAAAGCAGGCCTCTAATTACAAGGGCCTACCTTAATAATTTGCATGTTGATTAGAACTAAAACTTTGTTGGCAAATAACTGATTCTAAGTAATTTCCACCAGCTATAGAAAATATTAAAGTTATTGGCTAAGGACAAAACCAAGACAAGTAAACAAAACAATCTTCTTGCTCCAACATTAAAAAAAGAAAGAACTTAATATAACTATCCAACACTGAATAATGCAGGAGGAGAAAACCTAAACAAGCCAGTAACAGCTGATGAAATTGAAGCAGTAATAAAAAAAAACCCGGTACACAAAAGCCCTGGACCAGACAGTTTCACATGAGATTTTTACAAACCATTTAAGGAAGAGCTAACCCCTGTCCTTCTCAGACTATTCCAAAAAATCCAAGAAGAGGGAAGACTCCCAAACTCTTTTTATGAGGCTAGCATCATCTTAATCCTAAATCCAGATAAAGACACAAAAAGAAAGAAAACTACAGGCCAATATCTCTGATGAACATAGATGCTAAAAGTCTCAACAAAATATTGGCAAACCATATCCAGCAATACATGAAAAAGATCATCCACCATGATCAAGAGGGATTCATCCCAGGGATGCAAGGATGGTTCAATATTTGAAAATCAATAAACGTGAAACATTACATAAACAAAAGGAAAGACAAAAATCACATGATAATTATCAATAGATGCGGAAATAGCAGTTGATAAAGTACAGCATCCATTTATGATAAAAATACTCAGCAAAGTGGGAATAGAGGGAGTATACTTCAACATAATAAAGGCCATATCATACTCACTAGGCAATCACTAAAAGCTTTCCCACTAAGATTGGGAATGGCAAGATTGTCCACTTTCACCATTTCTATTCAACATAGCATTGGATATCCTAGCCACAGAGATCAGACAGGAAAAATAAATAAAAGGTATCTCAATTGGAAAGGAGGAAGTAAAACTATCATTGTTTGCAGATGGCATAATAGTGTACATAGAAAACCCGGCTAGAGACTCTGCCAAAAAACTACTCGACCAAATAAATGAATTTGGCAAAACAGTGGGATACAAAGTCAATATTCAGATATCAAAGGCATTTTTGCACACCAACAATGAAATATCAGAATCAGAAATCAGGAAAAAAATCCCATTTGCTATAGCAACAAGAAAAATACAGTACCTAGGAATAAACTTAACCAAGGAGGTAAAAGATCTGTTCTCATAAAACTACAAAACACTGAGGAAAGTAATGAAGGAAGACACAAGTAAATGGAAGCATATACCGTGTTCATGGATTGGAAGACTTAACATTATTAAAATGTCCATACTACCCAAAGCAATTTATAGATTCAACACAATCCCTATTACGATACTAAACGTATTTCACAGATATAGAACAAACATTTCAAAAATGTATGTGGGACCATAAACAGCACTGAATAGCTGCAGCAATATTGAGAAAGAAGAACAAAGTAGAAGGGATCACAATACCTGATAACAAACTATATTACAAGGCCACCGTCATCAAAACAGTCTGGTACTGGCATAAGAACAGACATATAGATCAATGGAACAGAATAGAGAGCCCAGCAATAAACCCATGTCTCTATGGTCATTAATATTCGACAAGGGGGGCAGAAGCATAAAATGAAATTAAAATAGCCTCTTCAACAAATGGTGTTGGGAGACCTGGATAGCTACATGCAAAAAAATGAAACTCGACCACCAACTTACACCATACACAATAATAAACTCAAGGTGGATAAAAGACTTAAATATAAGTCGTGACACCATAAAAGTCTTAGAGGAGAACACAGGTGGGAAACGCGGATATTCCTCACAGCAATATTTTCACCGATATGTAGCCTAGAGCAAGGGACATAAAGGGAAGAGTAAACAAATGGGACTTAATCAAAATAAGAAGCTTCTGCATGACTAAGGAAATCAACAAAATGAAAAGGGAGCCAACCATATGGGAAAATATATTTTCAATGATACCTCAGACAAGGGTTTGACCTCAAAAATATATATAGAACTCACATGACTCCACTCCAGGAAGACAAACAGTCCAACTAAAAAATGGGCAAAAGACCTGAATAGACACTTCTCCAAGGAGGACATACAGAGGACCCAGAGACATATGAAAGGATGCTCAGCATCACTAGCGATCAGAGAAACGCAAATTAAAACCACAGTGAGAAACCTCACACAGGTCAGAATGGTCATCATAAACAAATCAACAAACAGCAAATGCTGTCGAGGTTGCGGAGAAAATGGAACCCTGGTACACTGTTGGCAGGAATGCAGGCTGGTATAGACGCTGTGGAAAACAGTTTGGAATTTTTTCAAAGCTAAAAATGGAACTGCCTTTTGACCTGGCAATTCCACTCCTGGGATTATACCTTAACAATGCCAAAACACCAATTCAGAAGAACCCATGCACCCCAATGTTCATAGCAACACAATTTACAATAGCCAAGTGCTGGAAGCAACCTAAGTGCCCATCAATTAATGAGTGGATCAAAAAAACTATGATACATTTACACAATGGAATACTATGCAACATAAAGAAAGAAACAGCTAGTACCCTTCATGACAATGTGGATGGAACTGGAGAGCATTATGCAAAGTGAAATACGCCAGGCGATGAAAGAGAAATACCATATGATCTCACCTATAAGTGGAACCTAATCAACAAAACAAACTATATAACCAGCAACATTGAAAGAAAAATCAAACCAACAGTAATGAGAGGGGAGGAGTGAGGAGGTAATGCAGAAAAGAAGGGAAAGAGTCAAGTCAAGAAACATGTATAAAGGACCCATGGACAAAGCAGAAATGGGGAAGGATTGAGAGTGGGAGGCGGGTATGAGTGGAGCAGGGGAAAGTGGTGGCAGGGAAATGGAGACAAATGTATCTGAATGATAAATAAAAATAATTTTAAAAATTGCAAAAAAATAGGATTCAGGCCTACATGAATAAAATATTTCTCTGAGCCCTGACCAGTGTGGCTCAGTTGGTTGGTGTGTCATCCCATTAACCAAAAGGTTACGGGTTTGAGGATACATGTCTAGGTTACAGGTTTGGTCCTAGTTGGAGTATGTACAGGAGGCAACTGATCAATGTTTCTGACATCATATCTGTCTGTCTCTCTGTCTGTCTGTCTCTCTCTCTTTCTTTTCCTGTGTTTCTAGAATCAATTGATATATCCTTGGGTGAGGGTTCATATTTTTTCCATGAATTTATTGCAGATAAATACAATAAAAACTTTTCATTTCTTTTGAATATTATGAGCTAAAGACATAAAACTTTATTCTGTAAATGCAATAAGTACTAAAATAACTTTATGTTGAACTGAGGGGAGTAGTTCGATGACATGATAAGTGAAAAAGAGGAAAATAAAGAAAGGGAAGGCCATAAAAAGGGAGCAGAAAAAATGTAAAATAGCCCACGTTGAGAAATCACTCTGTTGCTGCATACTAATGACTCCAGGGAGCTTCTATTTTAAAGTCTACTTATGAACTGTAAACCTCCTCCAATTAGACAAGAAATAAAGATCAGTAACAAGCCAAGGCATGCTTCATAAGTAGAGTTCTTTATCTACTGGGTCCCAGAAAAGGCTACAGTGAAGGGCTCAGAAGGCCAAACAGAAATCAGGGAGAAGTAAACCCATCATTTTTAGATTCCTACCTTAGTCCAGCAGGAGACAAAAAAGATGGAAAGGAAACATAAAAGCTGTCCAAGGGGGGCTGCTCAACAGGGTCACATCACTGCCAGTCACTCTGTGAAAAGGAACAGAGCTCCAAAGAATTTACAAAAATGAAGATGAAGCCCCTAAGAAATCCAATGATTTCCTGGTTGGTTTTAAGTTCCTTCAGGCAGGATCTGAATTGATTAAAAAGCCTGGAATATCTATGAATTGTTTAAAAAGAAATTATTTGAAAGTACCGTATTTTTCCATGAGCAATGTGTACTTTTCTGCCCAAACTTTTGAGGGAAAAATAAAGATGCACATTATACATGGGTATAATGATTACACACCATGGGCATAATAAGGCATATAATAATCCCATGTATAATGCACACAAAACATGGGCGTGCATTATACATGGGAGCACATTATATACAGCAAAATACATTTCCCAATACAAATTATAAATAAGTACCTAGTCTATGGTTATTATTCTGTAAACACTAATGCATTATTAATGTGACATTTGGGTAGAGCACTACAATAGTGTAGTTGACTTTAGTATGCTAGGAGCTGCACAATCAACTAAGTCTTCACCAGTTAAAAGAAAAAAGAAGTCATCTTAGGACACTATAAACATTTTGCAGACTTTTGTAATTATTCAAATGCTTTCTGGGTCTCCTGATTTGAAATTGTCCCTAGAGATAGCATAGCTCTTTATTTGGACTGTCCTTAAAGCAAACACATCTCTGTCATTTAAAGGTAAAAGTGATTCAGAGACAATCTTGAGAATTACAGAAATATAGTGGGAGATAAAACTGCGTTAGATTAAGTTTTGGTTTAAAATATTATACAAGTCAAAATGAGAACACTAATATTTCTATTTTTTGATACCTCAATTTTTACTCAATAAATATTTATAGATGAATATTCATAACATGTGTTGGGGATCCTGAAGACCTCCTTTATGTTAAGAGATTTGCTGGAAGATCTCATGGTAATGATCACATAATTATACTC